CGACATTCCTCGGCGAAGGCGCGAAAATGGCTGCCGGCAATTGGAATCCTCGCTGAACGGGTAAGTAAGAAAGGTATTGGAACATACATTACATACATTACAATACATTTCCCCTACCCATTTAGCGACGATTTCGCATAGCGAGGGTTAATCCGGAATGGATTAACCTTGCTATGCGGGGCACCACTGTATTGGAATTGCACTCGAGGCAGTCCGAGGCCCTGTTCCTTTGGAACAGGCTGAACACCCATGCAGTTGCTGTTTGAGGCTGCTAGGGAAAAATATAGGCACAGAAGATATATAAATGGTCAGGTGCTTCAGCTAACAAAGACGAGGATCATAAATAGCAATGGGTTAAAGCGAGGGTCCTCAACCTTGGGTAACACAGATGTCCTTGGACTGCAATTCCCAGAAGCCTTCACCACCAGCTGTGCTGGCCAGGGGTTTCTCGGAGTTTCAGTTCAAGACTGCTGGATAGCTCAGTGGTTTAGGTCTCTGGCTGTGTAGCCAAAGGTTGGGAGTTCGATTCCCCGCTGGGCCTCCTTGTCAGGGGCTAGACTCCATGATCCATCAGGTCCCTTCCAGCTCCACAGTTCTAGGATTATTATGATTATTATAACACTGGGTTACCCAAGGTTGGGAACCAATGGGTTAAAAGTAAGTCATGCTAATTTGTCATTTACAGTAGAATTAGGGAACCTGTAAGCGTCCAGATGCTAGTAGACTCAACCGCTCCTACCAGCTCCGACTTTGCTTGGCCAACGGGGAGGCATAATTGGTTCTGTAGCTCAACAGTATTTGGAAAGTGTCACGTCCTCTGATTTATAGCTTCTGCGACGCTTAGGGGAGCACCTTGGTTAATTATTAATATTTTTATTAAATGTTTTCATCTGGAAAAATATACCCCAAGATTGCTGCTTGATGAGTAGAAGGAAAATTCTGGGCTGAGTAATACCTTTACTGTGCCATCAAATTATTATGCACACGGAAAGCTTTCAGGTTCCGGAGAACTATTTTTCTGGCTTCAGTAATACCAGTTTTTGGGGAGATGGTGGGAAAACCAGATTCTAATATAATAGGCGCATTGTCCCTGTATGGCAAATGACGTGCAAGATGAAGATGGCAAATTTAGTGATAAACAAAAGCATTGAATTTTTTAAAATTGTAGCCATGGTCGTCTGTTGCAAGCATTTCAGCAAGAAACACAAAACAAACAAAATTTAAAAAAGGTGTTGTAGCATCTTAAAGACCACTATATCTTCATGTGAGCTTTTGTGGCACAGGGTCCACTTCTTCAGACACTGTTGTAGACTCATTGTTTCCAACTTTAAATCTTGTCTTTCATTGTTGTAAGCCGCCTGGGGTCCTTTTCAAGGAGAAAGGCAGGGCTAAAAATATTTTCAATAAATAAATAAATACACAGTAAAACATCTGTGTCAAGGTACAGTCGTGCCCCGCTTTACGATTGCCCTGTATTACGACAAAACTGCATTATGACGATCTTTTTGTGATTGCAATTGCGATCACAGTACGATGGTCTGAATAGGGGTTTTTCGCTTTGCGATGATCGGTTCCCTGCTTCGGGAACTGATTATTTGCAAAATGACGATTTTCGGACAGCTGATTGGCAGTTTCAAAATGGGCGCTGGGTAAATAAAATGACTCCCCACTGTTTTCTGGGACGGATTCCTTGCTGCACAGGCACCGAAAATGGCCGCCCTATGGAGGATCTTCGCTGGACGGTGAGTTTCCAGCCCATTGGAACGCATTGAAGGGGTTTCAATGCGTTTCAATGGGCTTTTTATTTTCGCATTACGACATTTTCGTTCTACAGTGATTTCGCTGGAACGAATTAACGTCGTAATGCAAGGCACCACTGTATCTGTTTTGCTTCTGTCATCAAAAGTCCGGCTGGATCCCCTGCAGATCTTCCCTTCTCTTGAGCAAGGCTCATGGAATGGGATCCACAGGGGGTTGTTAGGAAACCTATTACAAGATATAAAACATATTCTGAAATGTCATCTGGATGAGCAGCAGTTTCTCACACCATTAGAAATAAACGAGTTTCAAACTCAGGAAACAAAGGGGTTGGTAAATAGAAGTTAGGAAGGGAAAGTTGGTCAGTTTGTAACTCTGAACAGCAGAGAGAAGTCAAGGGCCATGAATTAAATCCTGTACAGCCAAAGAAACATGCTTTTAGGAGAACTCTTATTGTTGTTGGGTGCGGACAGGAAGATAGGGCCTTATCACAATGCAAACGTTCATTAAAGCTGAACGGAATAGTATCGCACCATGTCAATAACAGAAATAAGCACGTCAATGATAAGAGCATTTTTGCCACAACATAGAGACTTCATATATTGAGTGTGTTAATTTGAAAAGAAATTATCAACCAACCAAAGCCTTTTTCCAAATTGTTTACACTGCAGTAATGTGTGGTGCAGGGCAGTGGTTTCCAGCCTTAGGCTTCCAGATGTTCTTGGCCCAAAAATCCCAGAGGCCTTCACCATTAGCTGTGCTGGCCAGGATTTCTGGCAGCTGCAGTCCGAGAACATCTGGACACCTAGGGTTGGGAACCCCTGGCATAGCGGACAGAGTCATGAGCTACGACTCAGGGGGCCTGAGTTCAAATCCTCATGAAAGTTCACTGAGGGAGTGGAACCCATTAAACCCCTCCTTAAATATCTCACTATAAGTCGGTTTTGACTTGATGGCACATCACAACAACATAAGTTGCTCTGACCATCAACAAAAGCAAAACTGAAAACAAAAGCAAGCATAAAAACCTTGCAGATCTTAAGACTAACGTGTTTATTTCAACATGTTTTGTTGTTGCAATTCACTTTTTCAAACACAGTGGGGCAAACTATTATCAACAAAAGCTCCCGTTAAAATTAATTCATTAGTCTTGAAGATGTGCTGGGGTCCTTTTTATTAGTTTTTTTCTTGTTCTTGGGAAACAGGCCAGCATGACTTCCTCTTTAAAACTGATCTCGTTAACAAAAGAACTCACCTTTGCAATTCAACTCCGCCAGTAAGATGTCTTTGGAGAACTTTGCTTAATGTGTGGGCCAGTTGGCACCAGTATCCTTTTGACGCTGTCCAAAAATGGATAAAGTTAATAAGGGTGCTGCTTATTAAAGGAATCCAACCGTCAGTGTAAGCCAGCCCTTCCCCAGCTTGGCATCCTTTGGATGCTCTGGACCATCGTTCCTATCATCCTCAGCCAGCATAGCTAACCTAGCTGGGGTGATGGGAGTTGTAATCCAGCAAATCTGGAAGGCACGACATTGAGGATGTTTGGTAAAGGAAGGCATACGCATTCATATTCTGCTGGTCTTGGATGCCACTGCCTGTGTTGGGGTCCTTGTTTCACTCCATCTGCGCCACGTGGGGGTTGTTCAGAATGTGAGCCCATCTGCCCCTCTTTAATCTCTCTCCGGACCGTTTTCTTGCAGGTGGCCCATGGCGATCGCGATGCTTGCCTCTAAAAAGGTGAACGTCCAGCCCTTGGTGACCCATCGTTTCCCTTTGGAAAAAGCCACGGAGGCCTTCGAAGCCACCAGACAAGGAGTCGGGATAAAAATTATGCTGAAATGTGACCCCACTGACCCAAATCCCTAAAATAATAATAATAATAAAGAACACCCTGTAGCACTCCACGCTTCTGGTCCGGAGGGTGGAGTGGACGGAAGGGGGAAATTGGCTGCTTAGGGACATCCAGAGCCTTAAAGAGAGGAAAAATTCCTAGAAACCAAGTTGAAATGAAACTTCTCTGAAACTTTTATCTCTTTAGTCTAGAACAATCTCTGGAATCAGATGAATCGGTCAAAGGGGCCTTAATGATCATCTCAAAGTTAAACTGTGCAGATGGAATAAGGATCCAAGATCTTGTGGATCTGTGCTATTTATTCTTGAGGCTGAACAATTTCATTCTGCCTCTTAGAGGGGTCCCCTGTCTGTCAGCGACATGTACAAAGCTGTGGATAGGACCTTCTACAAGCGATTGGAATGGGGAGCCCAGTTAGACATCCATTCTTCCAGGCGACAGCCTTTTCGAATCAGTTCCTCCAGTTTTCTGCTCCAGTTCTCTTTCCCAGGAAATTTGTGTTTCATGGGTAGGGTGACCCCCCTAAACATTCTTAGTTGCTTTCGGACTGTTTTGGTTTTCTCTCGTTTTCTCTTCCACCTGTTTCCTCTTACACTTTTGTACATTTCTGCACACTTTCCTCCGGTGTGTGTGGATGGTTTTTTTAAGGCTCCCTAAAGACACAACGCCTTGCAGATCTGAGTTTTATGATGCTCGGCATCTGCCACTCGGAGCCGCGATATTTGGTGGAATGCCTTCTGCCACCAAGATCTACCCATATCACTCGCGCAAGCCAGGAGGTGAGGCTGACCTCGCTGGGTATTTTCAAAAAACAACTAAAAACATTGCTGTCCTGGCAGGCCTTCCCCCCCGTCAATTTTTGATTCCTCTCTTTTTTCCCTCCTTGCGTTCGATCTAATTGTTGAATATGTTTTTATATAAGTTGCATTAGCTATTGTTTTATCCCTGTCGTAAGCCGCCTAGAGTGGTCCGTTGATCAGATAGGCGGGATATAAATAAAATAAATAAATAAATAAAATAAATAAAATTAAGGCCCACGGAAGCCTGAACCTAGTGAGGTTTAAAGAGGACCCGTAGCAAGTCAAAAAGCGCACCACATTTTTTAAAAAAGAGTTGTTTAATAATCTGCTTGTCATGGCATGTACTTTTCCCTATTTATTTTGAGGTCATTTGTAATCTGAGGCCCTGAACTGTCGTTTGCATGGTGTGGACATTCATCTAGCATAATTGCCGGTTCAAGACTCAGCTGCTTTCTTAAGAAAATCAAGCAGGAAACATAGGGTGCTGTTGCACGCCGCCCAAATTTCCTGGCGGTACGGCTTGTGCAAGAATGTTTTGCTTTTGGGCCCCTGGGGGGGAGGATGACCGAAGGCCCATTTCTCCCTCTGAATCCTACAAGAAGAACCACTTCCTTATAATATTATAGCCTCAGAGGGGTGTCTAAAATGCTTCCCCGAGCAGACAGAGTTAACATGCACCATCATTTTGATGTGAAGGATGCTTGGCGGATGAGAGAAGCTTCTCAAATCCTGGGTGTTGAGCAGGGACTTGGAGCAGAAACCACTAATTATATATTTCACTCATCAAGGTCCTGAGATACTAATGCACTCTTAAGCTAGTCTCGCTGTTCACGGCTGCATTGTGAGCTGTCACAGGGAGAGAGAACATGGGTTTTCAAAGAGTTCTGCTGTTCTATATGCTGATTTTTTTTAAAAATGTGATTTTGTTTTAAAGCTCAGGGTGACCTGGAAATAAACTAGTTTTCTGGAATAATCTGCCTTTGTGGGTGGATGTCTGTATTGTGAATGAGAAGATTGGAAGCATCAGCTGTTGGTCATGCTGTGTCTGCTTCTTTTGAGTCATCTCCTCCTCGCAACCTGTAGTATTTCACATCACCACCACCACCATCATCATCATCATGTGGCATCAAGTCAATTTTTGACTTGCAGCAACCATTTTCCCAGGGTTTCCCAGGCATAGAATAGGTAGAAGTGCTGTACCCTTCCCTTCCTCTAGGGGCGCTGTGGGGACTGTGCAGCTGGCCCAAGGCCACCCAGGCTGGCTCTACTTGCAGAAGTCACAGTAGGGAATTGAACTGCTAACTGCCGGCTTTGTAGCCGGATGCCTAAACCACCGAACTTCCCAGCCAGTTTATGAAGTGGAGCTGTCCTCATTTCCAAATCAGGGTGCCTCTATGCAAAGTTACATGAATGGAACATGCTTTTGCTTGGTCACTTTACTGCCGTTCTCAGTGTACTGTGTTTGCAGGAGAATGCAAGCAGATGACACTGTCAGCATTTTTCACAGTAGCTCTTGACTGAGAGGCTTGTAAGACTTCCTTAGGGCTGCAGGATGAAGCAACTTCAGCCTTGCTCATTTAGAAATGGCGATGGTTAAGGCTGTGGTGACCAATGACGCTCTGCGCCTCACTTTGAAATTGCTCCTTATGCAAGGAATGTTCAGCAACCTGTTCTTAGAAGTTACTCGAGATGTCATCAACCATCCACAAGACCTACTTGCTCAACATTTCTCAGACATTTCCCCTCCTGCAAAATCAGAAGCTAAGAATTATTGCATCATGATCCTGCACAGGGATCAGAAGTCAAAAGGTCCGTTAGATGACGGTTTTAAGAATACCCCAGGCAACATAAAAAGCTTCTATCCCAATCCTGTTGCCATTGTAGAACCGGATGGTGATGATGGTGTTTTACACTTATATCCTGCTTTATCTTCAAGGAGCTCAGTGTCACCTAGGGGACCTTCCCTGTTTTTGTCTGCAGGACAGCCCTGCGTTGCCGGCAAAGGCTGGGAGGTAATAATAGTTCCAAGGTCATCCAATGAGCTTCATAACTAGGAAGGGATTTCAACCTCATTTTCTCTATCCCTAATCCAACATTGGTACCACCGCACTGCACTCTAATCATATCTGAATACTAGGAGTGAGAACCTGTAGGGGCTTGAGTTGAATTGCAATTCCTTGTAACCCCTCACTCTTCGCTATGATCACAAGCACAGATGGGGAGTTCTAAGGCAGGAACATCCCACTTGTGCTGGAGATGGTGTGTTACGTAAAGATCCCCCTTGACAATTTGGCCAGTGGTGTCTGACTCTAGGGGCGGTGCTCATCTCTGTTTCCAAGCCATAGAGCCAGCATTTGTCCAAAGACAATCTTCCGTGGTCACATGGCCAGCGCAACTAGACACGGAATGCCATGACCTTCCCACCGAGGTGGTACCTATTTATCTGCTCGCATTTTACATGCTTTCGAACTGCTAGGTTGGCAGGAGCTGGGACAAGCGACAGGAGCTCACTCCGTTGCATGGATTTGATCTTACGACGGCTGGTCTTCCGACCTTGCAGCACAGAGGCTTCTGCAGTTTAACCCACAGCGCCACCACGTCCCTTTTAGATGGTGTGTTACAAAAGGCCAATTTGGCACGCCTCAGTCTCAAGGAACTTGTACAACAAGACGCCTGTATCTGCGGTATCAGTGTCAGGTGATTCACTTATCCGCAATTCAAAAATATTAAAAACATTAAAAGAAAAATTCCCAGAAATATGTATTTCTAACAATGTAGTTGCCAGGACTGGCCACTAGAGGGAGGCACAGACCACACTACACATAGTGTTCGCTTTTATAATAACGTTTGCTAGCGTCTTCCAGCATGCATAGAGGAAACTGGAAGTCCTACTGTAGTTCAAAAATAAGACACAGGACCAACCCCACCTTGTCCTGAAAATGGGAGAATAAGTCTAGGTAAATGAATGCATTTGAACAAGAATGCTTCAATAAAAGGTGCTTTGGCCTTAATGAGGTTCTCCAAATGTTCGCAGAGCAAATAAGGCAGGTAAGTGGATTCTGCTCCTGAAATTTAGAATAGGTGGCAGAGGATACTTCTCCCTTTGCAAAGAAATTGCACCCATGCTACTAGTAAAATAAGAACGCCCATGTTTTGTTAGAGAAACACACTGAGGCAGGACAGAGAATAGAAATTGTTCTGGCTAACAAAGGTGAAGATTCAGAGATTCGTGGCTCTCTCTTCACCTGTTGCGAACAAAAGTGAGATCGCTCCTTTGTGGTCTCCCAGAGAGGTTCTGGAAGGAAATGAGGGAAGGGACATCAGCAACCTTAAGGTTATCAATCTAGGTTGCAGGAAGTAAGGTATAGCTCTGAAAAAAGAAGTCAGCCCAGGAAAACTGGGGAGGTCCTCTACCATCAGCATCCTCTAAGAACTGCAGAGCTGGAAGGAACCCTATGCGTCATCGAGTCCAGCCCCTGTCAAGGAGGCCCGGTGGGGAATCGAACTCCCAACCTCTGGCTCCACAGTTCATCTGCTCCTCCCCATGGAAAGACATGCATCTTCTCCCGCATAAACTGAGTTGTGAGTCTTATTCTAGCAAGAATTTTGTGCCCTAGATAAAAGCTCCAAATTCAACAGGGCCAGCTTTCCCTAGTACAGTGGTGCCGTGCTAGACGATAATAATTCGTTCCACTGAAATAGCTGTTTAGTAAAATTATTGTCTAGCGAAAAGCAAATCGTCGCCTAGCGAAAATCGGTTTGCGAAGCAGGGACCAAACATTGTCCAGCGAAATTCCCCCATAGGAATCACCTTTTTGCGAATCGCTATAGCGATCGCAAAAAGTCAATGTCTAGCAAAAAAACTGTCATGCGGGCTAACTGTCTAGCGAGGCACCACTGTATAAAGCTACAGTAAGAAGCTACACCAGTTGGACTGCTATCTCCTGCATCACTTGAAACAACTTCGGGGCCTTGTTTGGAAAGGTGGTTGCAATTCTGTTCTGATAACCCCTCTGGCAATACTGATGACAGACGAAATACAGTAAAAGAAACGTCCTATTAAGCAATAAGGTCAATGTTTAACGTACCGTATTTACAGTTGCTGGTAAATGAAAGGGTGTGGCCACTAATCTGCGGTTTACACACCCCACCGCAAACCTTGATTGAATCTGTGGTAATTGAAATTACTTCTGGGTGAGCATGTGTAGGATAGCAACACTTAGGAGATCAGGATTTTGACGAAGTTC